ATTTCCCCCATCTAAACATCGTTTTGTGATTGCAAAAGCGCTCGCAAAAACTTCAACGTTAAGTGGATTCATCGTCAAGCAGGGTAATCGTCCAGTGGGGCACCACTGTATTACTTCACTAGTGGAAGCAGCAGAAAGAGAACAAGACAAACAGAGGAAACCACAGGCTTTATTGTACAAGACCTGAGCAGGGCTGTTAGTGACAGGATGGTTTGGAGGTCATTATTTCATAAGGATACCAAGAGTTGGAAGCAACTTGGTAGCATTCCACTACAACACAGATAAACAGTAGGTTCTAGACCGTTCTTTCAGCGTTGGTCCTTAATGGCACATTTGCCATTGACTCCTTTTCTTTTAAAACTGCCCTCATCCACATAGCACTTTTAAAGAAAACAGATAACCAATCCCATAATGCATGTGTTAAACTAGGAATGACCCACTATCAATCAAACCCATGCTACAAAGAATGCTCTGTTTAGGGGAGAATTTATGCAAATCAGACCAGCTGCCTTTTCCAGTTGGAGTCAGAAGCTCCTTTTGCTCCATATCACTGGAAATGCCAGAATTGTTCACAGTTCAGAAAATATTTTGAAATCAAATTATTGTGGGGCACTAGAAGCAGAACTTTTCATCTGTGGTGACTGTTCCCTGGAGGAAGTCCATGTGCTAGGAAATGGGTTGCTATGACCTGGAGTGTGGCCTGTACGACAGGAAGCCGAAAATTTTTGCATTGCTTATCCTAGGTTTTCTGATGACTGCTATGGAAACTTAAGTAAAATATCTAACAAATTTTTAACTGTATATAAAGTAGTGGCTTGAAGCATAGTTAGTTACCAAATGGCTTGAGGACTGTCTATATCATTTGGAAGTCAATAGTTTCACAGGAACTCGACATTAAAATGATGCTTTGCTACTAAAACCATTTCTAATTAAAGGCAGGTGTGACAATAAATAACAATTGTCATTGATATTACTTTACATACTATATAGTACTATATTTATTCATGGCATTTGGTATAACATGGATGTCTGAAACCCAAACTTGAAGAAATTGTAGAGGACAATTGGGGGAGCTTCCCCATGAATTTGGTGCCTCTAGGTGCTGGGGGCGCATTCTACAGGGTTTAAAAGTACTGTAAAAAACAAATTGACAAATAGATTCATTTCGAAGGAAGGAAGGAAGGAAGGAAGACTCAGGTGGACAATAATAAATTAAATCCTTAAAAAAACTCCTTTGGTTTATGAACATGGGATACTGCTTCTATGTCTATGATTCAAAATGCCAGAAACTGACAATATGTCTTGCAATATTGGGTCCACATTGTCAGCAGGGAAAGGATGAAAAAAATCCTAAATTTGTAATTCATGATTTATTGACCTAGACAAATCACAAATCAAAACAAATCACAATTTTTCTGAGTTGTGCCCATCTCTAGGTGTAACTAAGACATGTGCCACTGTAGCTGAATGCCTATTCCCAGATCGGCCTTTCAACTGATCAGATGCCCCTCTGTCCTGTCTCAATGATGTTTCAATCTGTTTGCCCCCATCCAGTCTATCACTGACCCCAGAAACCAATAAAAAACTTAAAGAGCTTCCTTGGGTTTAAATGGAAAAGAGATAAATTTGGGTGTCATTCACATACTGATGGCACCAAACTCCAGGCAATCTCTCTCAGGAGTCTCATGTAGACGTTGAATAGCACGAGGGACAAAACAGAACCCTGTGGACCACACAAGTCAATGGCCAATGCGTTGACTAGGAGTCACCCAGCACCACATTCTGAGATTGCTCCTTCAAGAAGGAGCAAAACAGTGCTTCCAAGTTCCATTATAGAGAGACAGTTCAGAAAGACACCATGGTTGATGATAAGGTAAAGCTGCTGAAAGGTCCAGCAGAACCAACAGAGACAACACTCCTCCTGTCTAATCAGCAATGTTGATTTTTTTTAAAAAAAACAACCTATGTTTAAAAGTCAGAAAGCCACTGATTATCCTTTGGATGTCTCTGCTTTTAATTCTAATCTGCAGGCTTGCATTGCCCAACCTACATTCTCCAGTTCTCTCATCTATTTACTTTCCCTGCATCTGGTCTGGCTTACTCCCATTTCACTTATGAATTATTAACGTTTTAATAATAACGTTTTAAATACATGATTTGCTCAGGAAACTTTCAGGACACATTAAACTGCCATAGTTTCACAGAACTACAAGTCACAGAAGGAGGAGGGGACACTTACAATATGTCTAACTTCAGCATTAAACAAAAAAGAAACAAAGGAATGGCCCAAAAGTTTGACTTTGAATCAAAATCTGGGTATTCAGAACACCCAGATCTTGAGACATGCCGTCTGAAAATTAATCCATTAGTGTTTAAATTTCAGAAACTGAAATATCAATCCATTATTGTTAATATAAAAAT